ACAGAAGCAAAGCTTATGCGGCCCTCACAGGAAAAAGTTTGGGGACCGCTGGTTTAGTGTATATGTGTGTGTGTGTGTGTGTGTGTGTGTGTGTGCGTATATATATCTATATATCTATATCTATATATATCTTATATATATCTCCCCGGGCCTGCGTGGGTTTTCTCCGGGTACTCCAGTTTCCTCCCACATTCCGAAAACATGCATGGCAGGCTGACTGAACATTTTAAATTGTCCCTAGGTGTGAATGTGAGCGCAGATGATTGTTCGTCTCTGCGTGCCCTGCGATTGGCTGGCAACCGGTTCAGGGTGTCCCCCGCCTAGTCCCCGAAGACACCTGGGATAGGCTCCAGCACGCCCCACTACCTTTGTGAGGATAAAGCGGTTCAGAAAGTGGATGGATAACAGTAGATAACAGTAGATAATAATAAACTTTGCAGCAGTGCGCAACGCCACGCAAAACAGCCAGCCCCGTTTCCTCCTACTGTGGGCTTCAATGCGGCAAGCCTTTGCCAGCTGTCTGCTTTGTATGAAACGCTTGCATTCCTACTGGATGAGGTGCAAACTTTGACAGCGCTTTTAATTTGTTCCACACCGAGCAAACCCTTTGGATGGTCCTACCAAGTGACTGGGTGTTCCGCAAGAGAAAAAGTTGCCCTTACCGTGTGCAGGACCCTGTTGAAGAAGACCACGCTGAGCACCAGGGTGAGGGTCTGCACCACCACGGCGGCCAGCGCCAGCAGCCAGAAGCACTGCGGGGACCCCCAGGAAGCGCTCATGTCGATGTCGCACCACCAAGCACCAAAGGGGAAAATGAGGAGGAGGGGAAAAGAGAGAGGAGCATAGACAAGGAGGAGGAGGAAGGGGGAGTGTTGGGGGCTTGCCTGGCCTATTGTGAGTCAGGCCCACTTCATTGCCCTTTCTAAAAGTGCTCGAAAGCAAATAGTTCACATGTTGATCCTTATCCTTTCAAAATGACACACTTTGTAATTCACACCAGTTCTGAATTGAGTGATGGATCGTGACGGGAAAAAAAACTAAGTGGTCGTCTCCCAACCCTTGTGACCATGTCAAAGTGTCCTTTGGCAACATACTGAACCCCCAGTCACTGACCGATGCCCGTTTTGCTGACGAATGATGAGAGAAAAAAAAAAAAGATGGACTAAGCGACTGACGGAAGCGAGTTTTCGTCCGTCAGTGTAATTGTCACCAACCTCTCAGTTCGACAGTGACGGATGCCCGTTTCGCTGACGACTGACCGAAACGCGTATTTTGTCTCGTCCGTGTTTGTTGACAGGTCGTGAATACTGCGGCCAAGCTCGAGTGGACTCCATTGACACGATATGGAAATGCGTTGCGCTTCTTGTACAGTAGGTGGCGGTATGCACCAAAGAGCTGTTAAACACCAATACATTAAGAGAAGAAGAAGAAGAAAATGTTTGCCATTACAGTATTATAATTCAATGATAATTGTCAGTATATTTTCAGAAATACTAAGAATAGTCTGTCACATCTGCACATCTACTCGCCAACAAATACGATGCAATACAAGAAAAAGTAATTACATCATTTTTACTTCGAGCTTTTTCTTTCCATTTGAAGTTCATCATCTTAATTATCACTGTACGGTATTTACAACATACTCAAAATGACATTTTACTTTTGTCAGGCAACTAAATAAAATGATGCACTGTACAATAGTTGCAAAAATAGACATGAACAAGAATAGCAAAGTCATTGAAACTTTTTAAATGCATGGGGTTGTTTTTGCTTGACTTGACTTAATTGATCATTTTAAACTTTTTTTTTTCACTGAGAAAGTATTTGTGAAAATATCTCCCAAATGTAGAAGTATTTATTTTTAGCCAGATCATGTGTTTTAAATTCAAAATTGTATTAAACATTTTCAAATAATGAACTTTCTTCTTTGCAAACATACTTCTCACCCTCCCCATTTGTAGTTTATTTGACTACTCAAGTAAATAAATAAATCCAAATAAATCGTGAAAAAAAATATAGAGTACAGTACTAATAAAATTTTATGCGTTGTCAGTTTGAGATTTTACGAAATTTTTTTATGTAGGCCCTACACATTAAAAAAATGTTAGCTGCAGACCTATAAAATGGTGTCACTTTTTTTTTTTTTTACTGATCAGCAGAAGCTCAAACAATTAAAATGATCTTTTTTTTTCAGTGGAGTGACATTGTGAGTCTGTTCAATTGCCACAAATGTAATTATTGTCACGGTTTCAATACCAAACCCGAGGTGCTTCCAGTTCAGTGAGGGCAGTCCATCAACAACCTTCATCATCATCATCATCATCATGAAAAACGGGCTTCCTCTTATTGTTGCAGTGATCTCCGACTTCTTGCCAAATGACCCTCTCCATTGTTTGGTGAGTCATCGTACTAGCCCACACAGACGATGCATACGAAAAGTTTGCATATCCCTGTTCGAATGCCAAAGTTTTGGTGTGTGAACAAATGAGAGCGAGAAGAGCACGTTTCAAAACTTCTTCCACCATAATGTGACAGATATGTAAGCTGGACAACCCAATGGAAAAGGAATGACAGATTTAACTCAGATGATGTGTTAGCACAAGTGTGCACACCCTCATAACTGGGATTGTGGCTGTCTTCAGAATGAACCAATTACATTGAAACTCATGGTAAGTGTTAGTGAGCACACACCTGCCACCATTTTAAAGTTCAGCTGTTCTAGTATTCAAGTTATATAACATAAACTGTTTACTTTCGTCTTTGCAGAGTTCTTTTCCCTCATTTGCATAGAATATATATCATTCATATCAATGGTGGGGAAAATTTCGAAACGACCTAGCTTGGTCTTTTCTTTTTTTCAATATCACAGAAGCGTTTGAACAGGGGTGTGTAGACTTTTCATATCCGCTGTATGTGAAATTAGAGCCAGACGTAAGGGCCTCAACGTGACTGAGTGAGTCACTTCCGAGGTCTGTCGGGTGGGAAGGAGGTGATAAGCAAGTAACGTTTCCCCTCGGGGAGGGAAGTCGACACCCTGAGAGAGCCCCACAAACACACGCATGCACACACACATTCGTGGGAGCGAGTCAGGACGTGTCTTGCATCGCCGAAAACATCACAAAGAATGAAGAATATGAACCCCTTAATAGAAGTGGCTAACATTCCGGATTCCTAATGATACGCGGCACCTGTGGGATGAGCAGTTTGTCAGTCAGCAGTGACGCAATTGACTGCGGTCAAGTCCGCGCCAAATAAAAGTCGGGTCATGTTCGCTGTATTAATTCAACCATTTTTCTCTAAAAGAGTTTAATTGAATGCATTATTATTATTTTATAATTTTTATTAATTTAACTTGTGAAACAATTACTTGATTAACTCGTTGTGAATGACTCCCCAAAATGTTATTGAAGCACATTTACAAAAATATGCATTTTACATCTGTCACACTTTGATATTTGGATACATCATTAAAATAAAAGGCACACCAATTTTAATATTTATTGTTAGTTGGAGCAAAATTTTCATTTTCTATTGACATTCTGATTTGCCAATTTTTCAGCAATGCAGATGAAATGTCCCTTTCAACCAATCGGTCGCTCCTCGCTACATTCGGAAGTCTTCTGGCTCACGCCCAAGAAGTCATCATCTTAACAAATTGGAGGGAAAGATTGGAAGAAGATTTCTTTCTGTTAACTCCCCTCTTCCCCGAGGCTCATTCTCTTCCCGGGAAAGTCGTGGAACCTCCCGGGGCACTCCACTCCTTTTCTACTCCACAACACAATTCTTGACTCTTTGCTTTGTCTACAAGAATATTTCTTTCGCATTCACCCAGAAGGGCGTCCTTCAAATTTTAACAGTCATTTTTAAAAATTTAAAATATGAAGTACACAGGAAGTTTGCCGTTTGCCAGTGATGGGGAACTTAAACGATGGCGTGGTCACAATTCTTCATTAGCACAAGTTGAGGGCTGCATAGGACCGCCCACTTCCTTAACAGACAAAAATGTCATTTTAAATGGGGACAAATGTGGGTATACATATCTTCTGAAATTCTGATTCTGATTCTGTTTTTTTTTTTTAAACAATGTACAGACCAGTAGAGTACCGTGATATATTTTAATGCTCAAAATGTACATACAGAAGATGTTCTCCACAACTACAAAGGCTTTGAAGGAAACAAAACAACCACATACAGTTCTGAATAAATTGATTCACGTGTTTCCATTTATTTAATCGGGAAAGCTGTTGAAAAAACAACGATATCTGTACATTTACAAGTTGTAGAGTATACACTCTTACGTCACAGGTTCCAGGTTCGTCGTCCCGCGGACTGGCCCAAAGTCAACTTTGAGGGGTGTCGTCGCAAATGGAAAAAAAAAAAAAAAAAAGATTTGTCTGTCTGTCTGCGTGCGTGTTATTAATATTTCATAAATTTGTTTTATATATACTGCTACCTAAGAATCGTTTCGGTTTTACGTTCACAAAAAAACAGTATTAAAAATAAAATAAAAAAGTAGGTCACCTTTAACCTGCATCACAGGAAGTTGTTAGCGGCCAGCAGTCAGCTAGCGATCAGAGCTGTTGGGATGGATCGCTAATTTTTTTTTGTTCGTTTATTCTCATTCCAAGTGTGTTTGATCAGCAATGTACCGATGGCATTGTCAAAGAAAGGGAATCCGGAGCACCAGAAAAAAACATTTTCAAACTTTACACGTGCGTACGTTCTAGTTTCGACACCTCATGACGCCCCCAAAAGTGCGTCCCCGCCTCCCTGTGTCAAGTCTCCCACGAAGGTAGGCAGTGATTTCCTTTCTGGAAACTCGGTTTTGTCTTGCATCTCGTTTATTTTTCTGTGAGCGTGTGCTTGTCTGTGCGCACGTGCGGTATATCGGCGTCGATCGCGGGACGGCAGCTGCTAAAAAACAGGAGATCTTCGATCGACTTTGTGAGTGACATTCATTGCTCTGTCTCGCTGTCAATACGTGACTTGACTTTTATTTGGATTCGCATGAAGTCCCTACAAGTTGTCGCGTAGCCACTGGACGTAGGCCCCGAAGGCCCTCACCCCGACGTCAAAGGTGAAGGGCCACGTGGTGAGGCTGAAGCACGCGTGGAATCCGTCCGGGTGGTGCTCGGCCGCGACCGCCACACCGGCGTCACTCAAGCGGCGCGCGTACATCAAGCCGTCGTCTCTCAGCACGTCGTATTCGCAGGTCATGACGTAAGCCCGGGGGCACTTGGCCAGAACCTCGGGTCCGGCCAGGAGGGGCGCAGCGCGCACGTCCAGCAGACCGGGAATCTCATCCAGGATTCCTGCACGGGTTCACAAGTCCAAAATTGCAATGTCTGTATACATTGGAATTTATGATGTTGCTTTTGGTGCGATACAAGATTATTAATCACAGAAAGAAATCGTCTGGCCGTGGTTTACAGGCATATCTATTTCTATAACAACACAAGATGACTTAAAAGCCCCACGTAATAGCAAAGTAGCAATCAATGTTAAGGAATTATGTTAAAGTGACACATCTTGACTGTATCATTTCTTTGTTTCTTGGGGAGGAGCTAAATTTAGCCCGGGTTGTTAGCGGAAGTTCTCGAAAGTCAAGTGTAGGTTTTTGCTCTGCTGACACGAAATCGTCTGTAAGCCATTTTACTTTAAGGGGAATGATGATGATGATGAGGAATGTAAGACGTATGTACGAATAATAATACAAATGTATGAGTTATTGAAAACAAATTAAAGTGTTTTGGGCGCATAGTTTGGTGTATTTACAGTTTAAAACTGGTGATTCTCAAAGTGGTACTTGGACTCCCTCTTGTGGTAGGCGCATATCTCTCTCTCTCTCTCTCTCTCTCTCTCTCTCTAGATATATATATAATATGTGTGTGTTTCCAGAGAGTTAAATCAAGGTTCCATATTTCTGTATTATGCTGCCCCCCCCCTCCAAGTGGCCAAGCTGCGCAAATTAGAAGGAGCAGCTGAATTGATGATCTGTGTCTCAAAGCACCATTGTATATGTATTTATATTAGAATGTATATAGGTTTGCATACTTTGCATTTTACGGTGCTCCTCGTCACGTACTGGCAAGTAGTCCTTGCAGTACTTCGGTTGAAGGAGGGTGGTCCAGTCCGCACGAGCTTTCAGCTCCGGCGCGACGTCGGAGCTGTGTCGGTTGGCGAGGAAGTGCGGTTTAAGGGAGAGGTCAGCGCCCAGGTACTGTAGCCAAAACTGGACCATGACCGGACGGTTGAGCACGACCATGTCCCGGTTCTGCTGATAGGATGGCGTGTTGAAATCCAGAGCTTGAAGGGCCGGGTAGATCAAAGCCTGCACGCTGAATTTCACCCTCATGCCGTCATCCATGGCAATCTGGAAAAAAAAATGAAATGCTCTTTCCAGCGTGTCCTAGGGCGACGAGGGGGCATTTTAATCAGATGCCCGAGCCACCTCATCTGGCTCCTCCTAATGCGGAGGAGGTATCATGTCAAACAAAAATGACCTGATCTTGTGAAAGTCAGCCACTGTTTGAATTTCAAAGCCTCGGTGGAGGTCGTCGTCGTCAGTGCGCCTACCTGTTGAGCGAGCGCCGCCGCCAAGTTCCCCCCAGCGCTGTCCCCCGACACGGCCACACGTTGGGGGTCCACGGCGTATTCGGCCAGCACCTCCGGGGACAGGAAGTGCTTGGCGGCCGTGAGGCAGTCCAGGAACGGTGTCGGGAAGCAGCTCTCGGGATACAGACGATAACTTGGCGGGGGTAAGACGATGCACAGGTTAAAAAAAAAAAAAAAAAAAAGGCTGCAGGCGGGGTGTTGAAAGACTTACTCAACAGAAACCACAACCATGTCAAGATCTCGGGACATTTTGCGGCAGCCTTGATCGTACGCGCCGTCCTCTGGGGAACAACGCAAAACCGACATTTTGTTCAATTCCATAATACGATTGCATCAAATATTAGAAGGATTTTTAAAGTCTTGGATTTTTCTTCAAAAAAATGCAAAAGAAAATGCACTGAAAATAAATCAGCATTTAGATATTTTCCTTACATTTAAACATGCTATTTTTGGCATTTTGTTTTTTGTTCCATAACTTTATCTCTGTTAAACATGAAGGAGATTGAAAAACAATGAAAACAAAATTTAATGCAGTTTTTTTCCCTCCACTTTAAAAAAATGAAACATTCAAAATCACAAAAAGTAAAAATTCTAATGCAGTTTCATGCCGCAAAAAGTCAATACAATTTATATACATAATAAAATGTTTTTCTTAAGTGTAAAAATCCTATTTCTGTCAACAAAAAAAAGTACAAAGAAGATTTCAACAGCTACAACATGAATCTAATCCCCCCCCCCGCCCTCCCAAGTCCACGAATCATGTCCCTGTAAAATATCTTGACGACTTCAACAGCAAAAATATTAAGAAAGTGCCCAGAAAGTACGAGACGGGACTCACTGGCACTGCCGTAGGCCCAGCCTCCTCCATGGATGTAGAGCAGCCCCCTCCTGAGGTGGCCCTCGGCTGACGTCAGGGGCCGGTAAACACGAACGGGGACGCTGTTGAAAACCGCGTCGCTGACCGCCAAGTCGCCTGCGCCGGGTTTGCCCGTCAACTTCTCCGCGATGCCCTCCAGACCCTTGGAACTCTCTCGCGCAGCCTTGACGTGGTGCCCCAAGCCCAGCCGCTCCATCACATGCGCCTGAGGGGGTTGGAAAGAAAAAAAAAATCATCTCAGCTCACCGGATCTTGCTGTCTCGTCTTTAGCGTTGCTCAGTGGGTTACTTCTCATCATCTCGCCGGTGAGTGTATACGCAACAGCGGGCTGAAGCTTCTCGGTAGGCGCGTCTAACACTGGGTTTCTCCGACGAGTGTGGGTGATCTGGCTGGTGCGGCCGTCTCTTTGTTCCGCTCATCATCTCGCTGGCAAGTGTGTGCGCAACAGCGAGCGGAGGCATGGTGGCAAGTGTAAAAGTGGGTCTGAGTGTGCCCATTTGGCCGTTTACTCTTCGTGTCACATCGGCGGGCTCAGCCACTCACCGGTCAGGGTTTCCGTGACAACAGGCTGGAGCTCACCGGTAAGGGTGAGCATTCAAAGTTTGGTCATTTACTCTTCTGCTTCACTTGTTTGTCTAGCTCTCGTCCGCTCACCAGCAAGTGTATGCCTAACAGCGGTGTGGATCTCTACACCACATCTCTCCTTTTTCACACCACGGCTTGCCTCTCTCTCGTCATCTCGATGGCAAGTGTGCGCGTCCCACCAACGTTTGGCTATCTCCATTTTGGCCTAATTTAGCAGGCCGGCTTTCCTCTTCTCGCCGGCAAGTGTATGCGTCACCAATGAGTGTGCGCCTTCCGGACGTAATTTCGCCATGTTGTCTTTCACGTCAGCCTCTTATGATCTCACCAGCAAGTGTATGCCCAAAAGTGGGCTGAAGCTCGCCGGTGAGTGCGTGTGTAACAGTTATACCGGAACACTCCACTCGGCTCTGCTCAGTGGGCGAGCTCTCTTGGCCACTTGCCAGCAAGTGTATGCGTAGACAAGAAAAGCATTTTAACTCTCGGGGGCAGCAGTTCACTGTGTATTAGGCTATTATGTGCCACAAAAATTTTATTGCAACGACATGTGCACTGCACGTGGAAGTCTTCATTTCAGCGTGGACCGCCATGCTTCACCTTGTTGTCTTTTCTGCAGGAAAGGCTTTCTGTGTGCCACTATTGTGTGCCACTATTGTAGCCTGTGTGTCACGATTGTAGCCTTTCACCTCCAAAGCATGTGGCGCAATGAGGAGCAAAGGTGAACATGAAGACATTTTCCTCCCACTGACTTTTTAATGACGCAAACCAGGCGGACTTCTTCTTCTGAGTTTGCAAAACGCTACTTTCTTCACTGTAACATGAAACCTGACAAACTTGATTTAGTTGTTTGCACAGATTGGTCGTGTGCTCTCACTGCTTAACCAGCGTTCATCAGAAAATGCTTTGCATCTGCAAAAAAATGTGTGGATCGCAATTGCTAGTCATCGATAAAAGATGAATTGTATCTGCAAGACAATAACAGGGAGTCCAACGGTATCGCCATCATCATTCGAAGCCCCTTGTCACTCAACACTCCCAATCACTAAGAAAAATCATTTCAAGTCGCCTTTTGGGGATGTGGACCTTTGTTGCCAGAAATGTGTGGCCGCACATTTTGCACATGCCAAAAAGCGCCACTGTTTTGAAATGCCAAAAAGTGTGTGGAAGGCACACACACTTATCAGCGTGCTTGTATTTTCATGTGACTGTTTTATTATTTTTAGTCCAGAAGGATTTTCATACAAATATTTACTGTAATCGTGACTTTACTGCCCATTAGTTAGCGATGGACTACAAATTCACAGCTGTCTGAATGGAATCCTGTTCATCCTGGGCAAAAAAATTTAAATTAAAAAGAAAAAAAAAAAAGGGAAGCTTGAGACTGATCAATTTAAATTTACCGACTTTAACTCTACGGAGCATTTTTTTTTTCTCCACCTCCAGCCTTTACTTGGAGTATTCAAACAATAGGAAGACACAATTTTGAACTAGATTAATGATCAAATTCAGAATAATTTTAAAAAAGCAGTATATATGTACACATTCCCTCACCCTCTTTCACTCACCAGGCCGATTACAAATTTGATAAGGTCCCCCAGCAGCCGAAGTTTCCACTGCTGCCTAATAGCGGCGGGCAGCGGTTTGCACAAGCAGTAGCGCAGAGGCATAGCCAGGCAGGCGGCGATGACCGCCGTCAGCAGCCACATTTCGGCTCAGCTTCGCGGTGTTGCCCCAGTGCAGGTGTGGAAGTGAATCAAGACCAGGGACCGGCTGATATGGGCTCAAGGAAGGGAGCGTGACGGCGGTGAATGTAACAGAAAAGGAGGAGTGGCCAAACAAGTTTAATGATTTTCGCGGTGAACATAAATAATGACTCAAAAAAAAAAACTCCCCACCAACTTGAAAACATGAAATATAATAACAGCAAAAGGTTTGATGTAAGGTGTATAGTACTCGTGCATGATTGGATTAAAACTCACATTCTGTTTCGATGGACGTTCAACTGGCTTGAAGCTCGTTTGACAACTTTTTTTTGTTTGTTTTTAGTTTTTTACTACGCTGCTTATATTTGAAAGACATCCCGGTTGAGGAAACATCCGGGACATTTAGTTTGTTAATAAGTTGTAGTACGCTGTTGTCGCCACATGAGGGCGAAGCATAACTGTTGATTGACGGATGAATAGTTCGTGTGAATTATTTGCCATCACAAGAAAAAATGTGCGACTTTGGAGCAGTACTTTTACATATTTTTGAATTTTATGTATTCATTGAACTTTAGGAAACACCAGATTTGAACACACACACACACACACACACACACACACACACACACATATATAGTCTCAGTTTTTTTTTTTTTTTTTGGTTGTGTTATTGCAGCTTTTGTTCCGTTAATATTTGGTTCTATTTATCCTTCATTGCAATTTGGGAAACATGATTTACAATACATTTAAACATATTTACACTCAGCAGACAGTCCATTAGATACGTCTAATCAGGGAGCATTATCAAACAATATAAATGCACAAAGGCGACAAAAACAATCAGTCAACAGTGTATATTACTGTGCTTTCAGTTTGCAGTGTTGTGGAATTGTGCTGCATCCAACGTCTAACTCTTTACGTCGTCCGGACTGGCCCATCAAATGTTTTCTTACAACGATGCCAGCAATAATCAGGGGTAATAAAGCGGGTGCCACTTTTGCGCTCCCTTCCCACGGGTTCACTCCAGTTCTGTGTCCCTTGTGGTTTCCCTTGTGAGAACATAAACAGCGATGACGAGGACCTGACCCCTGCCACGGACGGATTTTCCAAAACAAGCTCCAAGAGACCGGCCGGCCGACCGTGTCAGAATTAACCTTTGGGGCTCACGCGGAAGGTGCACTTGAAAAGTAAGATATGGAAGGCTGTAATAAAGTCGGCTAAAAAAGGAATCCAAAGTGAGGGCGGTTGGACTTTGCCTTTTGGCCGCGTGGCGATGTCAAACAGACGCCACTCTGGGTGCTAAGTGTATTTCATGATCTCCCTTTGGCCTACAGCAGCAGAACTTAAACTCCACTCATGAACTGTCTTTTGCAAGGCAAAAAAAAAAAAAAAACATCCTGCATATTCAGTGATTTCAGCCTTGGTCTCCTTCATGTTTGTATTTAAATTTTATTCAAGTCTTCCCACAGAACATGAAGAAAATTCCGAGGGTAAAAACTCGCCGCTTTATTCTTTGGTTGAAAGTGACATATGACAAATTGAAAGACATCTGCTTCCAATCGGGGCGTATGTGGGCCAATTACAAAAACAGTTCATCAGTTTTGTATCGATTGGATTAAAAAAAAAAAAACTCAAAACTTTCCACGCGGTGTGAGTCACGAATGTGATCTCATTTAAAAAGAAAAAGAAAAAAAAGTTATAAATGTGAAAAACACTCCTGTCCCGTCCCAGCATGACGTGCAATATTTGTGTGGCTATTTTTGAAACCCTGAACAAGAGTACGCACTGCTCCAAAGATCCTTTTCCCAAAGCCGCAGGCCAATGCCAAAAATCTGTCCGAATAGGAGAGTCAGCGGAATGCTCGGAGTGTAAACTTGAATGCGATATATGCGCGTGTGAGCGAGCGTGCCTGCTGAGCCTGAAAAATGGCGTCGTCTCCCTGCAGTCTGCGGTATGAAGGCTGCGATGGAGGGAGGGCCTCTCTGGTGTCCTTGACTGGATTTACACATAATGGTCATTTAACGCGACTAAATGCAGGAGGCACACGTCCGGGTTTTCCATTTCATGCTGAGCCGCCTTGTTGTTCAGTCGGGGGGGGACGTGTACATATTTCGATAGGTTCTGCTGTTTTGGTTCACAACAGAGTTCAAATGTGTCAAATGTAGCACACCTGCAAAATCCACAGAGATGCAGAGATCGCGGGAGCATTAAAAGGAGAGTTGATGCAGTTATAGGGATAAATTATTGAACACGGTGTGCGGTTTCGAACGGCGAGTGCCGTTTAACGATTTACCACAACTTTTGGAGGCGAGATGATAATTGTTGTTCTTCAAACAAGGTGGGCGCTACATGTGAGAGAATCCAACAATGGGAGCCTTTTGTGGTTAGCGCGTTGACCTCACAGTGCAGAGGTCGCAGGTTCAATTCCAGCTCCGGCCTCTCTGTGTGGAGTTTGCATGTTCTTCCCGGGCCTGTGTGGGTTTTCTCCAGGTACTCCAGTTTCCTCCCACATTCCGAAAACATGCATGGCAGGCTGATTGAAGACTCGAAATTGTCCCTAGGTGTGAGTGTGAGCGCGAATGGTTGTTCGTCTGTGTGTGCCCTGCGATTGGCTGGCAACCGGTTCAGAGTGTCCTCCGCCTGCTGCCCGAAGACGGCTGGGATGTGGCATGTGCATTACCTCTACAGGGGGGGTCATTAGCCCCCTGCCCAATTTTATTTATTTATTTTTAAAAGGCATTTCAAGAAAATCTGCTTCCTTGTGCATTTCGAGTGGCATCGATCCGATTCAGCTGCTGGCAGAACACATGAAACAACCTACCTGTGAAAACCCACACAAGCATGCGAAGAACATACTGCTGTCACTCAAACGAGGCAGAGCAAATGCCGTCTCAATGATCCGTTGTATTGAGTTGTGAAGACTTCAGACGGAGCGCTAAAACAAATTCTCACCTCTCTAAGTTGGGAGGGGGGGGGGGAACAGCCGTCTGGGCCGGGGGGGTTCAGAGTTCATCAATCGGACAGGGCCCGATGAGAACAAGTGCATGCCTCAGCCCTGACCTTTGACCTGGTGATGCACAGCAAGAGAGAGGGGGGGGTGCACTGAGAGCTGTAAAAGTCATCACAAGAAAAAAGTTGGAGGTCACAGAGAAGACGCAACATATGACCTCACACTTCAGTGCAGCTCCCCCCCCATCTCCACTCCTGTGAGTTTTTCACTTTCCCAAATCGGATCCTGATGTTTGGTAAACCCTGCCCACTCCACATCCGTTTGGCGAGGCTTTCAAGCTGGACGTGGCCTCCCCCGTCGGTCCTCAGCTGCTGCGTCGACACCACGACACGAGGCAGCTGTTTCAGCGACACTACTGTAAGCTAACATGTGGCGGGTTACCTCCGGGGTGCACTCAAGAGTGTTTGGCATTTATCAGCACTTAAGATGGCGGTTTGGGGTTTCGCTAAAGAAATTTGTAGCTGGCGTCGGGGCGGGGGGTGATGTTTGAGCTGCGAAGGGGGAGTCAGGGAAAGAGGTTGTACACTCAAAGGCATCAGCACACCGGTGTCGTCATCATAAAAATATATACAATGAGAGACAATTAAAGCACCAGATGGGTATTGCTGGTAGGTTTCGAGGGTGGCTTGGACTCTATTTGTCAGACAAACGTTTGAGACCCGTGTGGTGCTGTCTTGTGGTGTTCCACAAGGTTCAGTTTTGGGGCCCCTGCTGTTTTGATTATATTTGGTGCCCTTGGGTTCCATCTTGAGAGCAAGCCTCTCTTTTCACAACAGAATTTAGAAACAGTAATCCGTGGATTACTGTTTCACATGCACTTTATTTCGGAGTCAGGGAGTCCTCCCTCAAGCATCTCCAGTTGGTCCCAAATGCTGCTCCTCGCCTACTAAATGGAGCTTGTAGGATGAAGCGCATAACTCTAATTCTGGCCTGCCTTCAGTGGCTCCCTGTAGATTTTAGAATTCGGGTTTATAATCTTTTATTTGTAGTTAAATCTTGAAATGGTTTTGCACCACCTTACCTTTCTGAGCTCCTCCACACCCCGCACCTGCCAGTTGCTTCCGATCCAGATGCTACTGGCGGTACTGAGGACTAAGCGGAGTCTCAGAGGGCATCGAGGCTTTTCTGTTGCCAGTCCCTGTCTTGGGAAACGCAACCCCCCCCCCCCCCCCAAAAACAACCCACTTTTTCTTCCCCCCCTCACGCAACATATGTGTGTGTGTGTGTGCGTGGGTGGTGTCTGTCTGCTCTGTGCTATATGTGATGTCGTATTCATGGCGTGCGAGGCTTTCAAAGGTGGAGCAGCGGTGTCCTCAAGGCAGGCTCATATGTGCTTTGTGTGGCTCAGAGGTGCCGAGTGACGCTCTCTGTTGCATTTTGTCAACGTGTGTGTCAGCACCCTCCATTTCAGCTCATTCTTCTCGTTCCCCTCATCCCTCTGGCGCTTCTCCGGCCACCTTCCACCGGTGCCAAATGGCCTGAGCTCTTGAGGAAAAAATAAATAAATAAAAATCACACTGTTTTTCGGGTGCTTGTGTCCTTTTGTCGAATTGCAGTGATAATAGCACGATGGTTTTTTTAACATATTAATTTTATTTGCTAAAAAAAATAAAATAAAATAAATTCCATGCCGACCTGCTGAAAAACATACATGACAAATATATTCGACCCCTTTTTGTCGAATTGCAGTGATAATAGCACGATGTTTTTTTTAACATATTAGTTTTATTTGCTAAAAAATAAATAAATAAATTCCATGCCTACCTGCTGAAAAACATACATGACAAATATATTCGACGGTGCCAGTAAACTAATGATGAATACAAACATTCCTGGCAGTGAATAAGTTAAATGTAACCAGATGCGAGTCCAAATTAGCTTGCTCAGGGAAAACGAGAGTAGCGTCAAATTACCTCAGTGAAAAAATACAATGTTAAACAGTCGAGTTCTTCTCATGACCCAAATTACGAAAAAGAGGCTGGAGCCACTGCAACGATAAATTGTTCATGCTGGTCCAAATTAGCTGACTAACACACAAGGATATCAGAGGATTAATTTGATACAAAACACCTGATATAAAACATGTGGTTGGATTACTCAGATTCC